GCTCTTTTAGTTCATCAGTTATTGTCTGAAGAAAATAAATATATTGCAGAAGAAGTTTCACTTTAACTTCAATGTTACACAATCAACTTTATGTTCTGTCTATGGAGATTTAATGGACACTGGGAAAGTTTAACAGTGAGCTCTACTAGATTCTTAAAAAATAAAATCAAACTATTATATTTTAAGCCCATCATTACTTCATGTAAAAAAGGCAGACAATGTGAAAATCAAGTTTTTTTTAGATATAGCATATCTCTGGCACACTAAACCAATCATTTTGGCTGTATTTGCTGGGCACTGTGATTGCACTGGTCTTGACTGATTGCACTGATTGGATAGTCTGAAGATGATCACACATAATCATTCTTTAGGACGAGAGCTGAAATTCTTGATGTAAGAAAAAAAAATAAGCTCTAAATTTAGACAAAAGTACTTTATTTGGGAACACTAAATAAAGTAGAGAATTAGAAATATGGGTAACACTTTATTTGAAGGGGGTTGAATAAGACTGTCATGACACTTTCATAAACATGACATAGCACCTGTCATGAACATGAATAAGCCTTCATGAATATTTATGACTGTTGTCATAAAGCATCATTCGGTAAATTGTGACACTTTTAATACAAAGTTGACATTATTCAAAATGTCTTTGACAACTTGACATTAACCAAGAAATCATTACTGATATAAATTTGTTATAAAAGTATTACTGATTGCACTTTAAAAATTAGGTAACTTTATGTTATTAAAGGTAAAGTTTAAACAGTAATGATTTCCTGGTTAATGTCAAGTTGTCATAACAAAGACATTTTGAATAATGTCAACTTTGTATTAAAAGTGTCATAATTTACCGAATGACGCTTTATGACAACAGTCATAAATATTCATGAAGGCTTATTCATGTTCATGACAGGTGTTATGTCATGTTAATGAAAGTGTCATGACAGTCTTATTCAACCCCCTTCAAATAAAGTGTTACCAAAATATGTTATTGAGATTATAAAGGTTAAACTTTAGTGACTAAAGTTTAAATAAGAATAAGATTCTTCGATGTTCCTTTGTACTTTGATCTAAGACATGAATAAAAAAATGGGCACTTGGGCAGATTTAGCTTATTAGCTAAATCTGCGCAAACCAGATTATAAAGTTTAACATTTATAATGTGGTTTGAAGACCAGGAATTTAATCCTTAGTTCAGCTACATAAATCTGAATTAAGTCTGTTTAGACCATACTGGTAGCTATTTCAAAGCCAGTTGACTCTTTCTTTGGCCGTGAAGCAGCAGGTACTTTACAGTCACTTGCCATTCAAACCAAACATAACCAAGTCATTTCTACTAATCAAATTAATTATTCCTTTAGTTTTACAGTACTCTTCTGAGGCAATTATTTCATCCCTCGCTTTGTCACTTTGCAATGTGCTACTAATTTATGTGTTCCTTTTGAATTTCTAAGTTGGAGTTGGAGTCTAAATGTATCTGAGTGACTCTTAATGCTGCTGGTAAACTCAGGTCAGGACTGATCTGTCTTGAAGTGTTTTAACACCTAATAGTCTGGAAGTGGTGCAGGTGGTAGAGCTGTTGCTTTGCAGCAAGAAGGTTCTGGGTTTGATTCCCGGCCCGGGGTCTTTATGCATGGAGTTTGCATGTTTTACCTGTGCATGCGTGGGTTCTCTCCGGGTACTCTGACAAGGGTACCACAAATGTGATTTTCCTCTGGTAAAATCCACTGAAACACATGACAGGCTACGTTTTTCCCTTTGCTCACCCTTTGCTCTACCATAACCCTAAATGGTCTTGATTCTGCTTGTGTGAGTCCCCATAAAAACCAATGGTGCCCTTCCAAACCCCCTTCAAAAAGCCTTCAGAAATAGATTTCTCTGATTAAAAGAGGATGGACATTTTTCAGATTCCTTATGCAATCCATGCCTCTCATTTTTCCCTCTAGATGTAGGGAGAAAAGAGCAGCAGAGAATATTTTAATTGCTTTGCCCCCATCATATTCATCAGCACGTCTTCCCCCACACCAAGTGGAGGCTGGAGGGGCAATTTCATAATTCTGGGAGGACTGGGGATTCTCTCTTGGGATGGGACACATCCCAAGAGATGGACTTTAGAAAGATGAAATCTGATAGAGATTGGTGTTTGTATAAGAACAGATTGAAAGGATTGTTCTTCAGACCTTTGTTGTACTGACTATGAGGGAGAATGGAAAGGATTCAAATCCACAGGGAGCCGGTGAATCTGAGGGAATTATAATATTGGGACTTGGCCAATTGGAAAAAATATTTGAAAAAAAAAAAAGGAACATGGGGGAGGCAATGCCAAAAAGAAAGGAATATAAATGTTTAACATGCGTGTTTCTTTTTCTAGTTCTAGTAAATGTAACCTTTTTTGGAGAAAACAAAGACAATTTTTTCTTAAAAAAAAAGTATTTTGTTACAAAATTTGAATGGATTCAATAAATAGATTATCAGTTCCAAGGCCTAATTTTGGTGAGCCCAGCTACTGAACACATCAACTGGTGAATTCAACTGGTTTTCTGACTGATGAGCATGAGAATAATTGACAGTACTCAGCCTGTCACGATAACACATTTTGCTGGGTGATTAATTGTCTCAAAAATAATTGCCAAAACGGTGATATTGTTTCAAGACCATTTTAAACTGATGCAATGGTGATGACATAATAATGCAAGCACATACTGCCAAAAATATGCTTTATTTACAAAAAACACTTAACACTGGAACAGGTAAAGTAAACAAAACAACCAAAAGCAACAATAAAATGGATTCTCAGTCTCCATTAACAAAAAATGCACTTGAATAAAAACTAAGCACAACATAAAATCAAAGTGGAAATAAAAAACTACATTCAACCAAAAGAGTACAGATTATAAAGTCTACATACTATATTGGCCTTCAATAATCACTAGATGAAGACGGGTATATCCGACTACTTGATGCAATAGTTCACTCCTCCCTTACGCTCAGGGAATGAGGAAGGGAGGGTCAGTGGAGAGAACCGGGGTTCAGCCTTATTTCATCCAGTGTCCTCAATAGAAAGAGAAAAAGGCACAAAAGAAACGATAACGGCGATAAATTAAAATGAGGTCGATAATTTTCATTTATCATGCGATTAAGTGATTTATTGTTTATTGCAACAGGCCTAACTGAAACCCTTCTCCTGGCTTTTTATGCAGTTTGTACTGGGAGCACTGGGAGAAGGCAGAGGAGCTCGATTTTTTTCACAGATTACCTGCCTTATGTTGTCACAACAAAATATTTTAACAAAAACATGTTAAAAAATATTTTTAAATAAAAAGTTGTTTTTTAATCTAACATAGATTTTATAAAACAAGCACTTTAATTGGCATATTTATATTATAAATTAGATTTTTTTTTGGAAAATAAACTACTTTAAATAATTATGTTTGCTTTAAATTCACAGCACTTGGAAATAAGCAAGAAGTAGTCCAAAGTTTTTAAAAATTTTAGCTGATTTTATTTTGTTTTAATTGAGATTTTGGTGGTGCCATTTTCTTTTTTTTTCTTTTTTTTTTTTTTTTTACCATTTCATGAGAATAAGGGTGAAGAAAAAAAATGGGGTGGAGCAGGATATAATTGAGCAAGGGTGGGGAAATGACAGTAAAGAGGGGTGGAGGGAGTGAGATGTGGAGGAGGCTCCGGGACTCCCAGAGGTGGCGTCCCAAATGCAGGGAAGCCTCAGAGGACGCTCTGGTGATTGCCTGACCTTCCCACTTTCTTCATACCGTTCAAGGGCAGAATGTGTGTTTGTGTGTATTGATGTGTGTGTGTTTCATGCTGACAGCCATGTGGTATTTGTACTGTCTCTGTCTGTCCAATTAGCACCAGCTGGAACAGCCTGGACATTTTTTAGCGTGTGTGTGTGCTACATCAGCCGACGTGCTAATAATTCACATCTGCAAAATTTTGGAGACAAACCTTTTTCATTCACACACTCTAACAGATCCTGTTTATTTTAGCAAACCGACATCTCATGAATATTTCAGTGGCTTGCACCTTGAGGCAGACGACTCCACCAGCAAGGAAGGGGAAGAGTAAAACACATTAAAACACAGGGTATAACAGAGGAGCAGCAGATTACCCCTCATTATGCAGCATTAATCGTCTATAATCTGCTTTTAATCCAATATCTTTACCTTACTCAATTAATGAGCCATACGTCAAGACTGGATTAGAGTGCAAACACTGGCTGCTAGAGATCTCAGCAGAGAAGAAGTCAAAGTAAGAGACGGCACGAAGAGCAGACGAAGAAGATTATCATCCTCTCAGCCGGATTGCTCTAAAACAGTTGAAGTCAAGAGACAGCTTAAAGTCGAGACACTTCTGCACAATATTGTTCTGTGGAAGTTTAACATTTAAGACCAGATTTAAACAGTTAAACATTATGAGAAACAACCGACCAGGGAGATGTCAGGAAGAGGCTCAAAAGAATTGGTATTTAGACATAAGTACGCGAGGCTGCCTTGAAAAACTAAAATGTGGCAAAGTTAAATGTTCTGTAAAACAAAATGCTGCATAATGTTTTTGATTTAACATTGATAGGTCAGAAAACGATGACAGTAGGAAGAGATTTTCTATTTGACCAAAATGTTGGATAGCTGTTGGATGTTTGAATCTTATGCAGGTTCTCTTCAGACTTTTTAGGAACTTGATTTATATATCTATTTAAAAACTAAGTGCTAATAGTTGTGTCGGTCGCATCTGTAGAATTGGGAATAATTGGGGAGTATTTGATTGGGAATGAGAACTTGTAAACCAATCAATTCAGTGAGACTGAAGATGTATGTTTTGGTGCAGCAGGACACTGATTTACTGAAAAGTTTCTGCCTGTCCTTCCTGTTTGTCTGTCTTCTTGTTTTGTCTTCGCGCTCTGCCTGTGGTCCGGCCCACACAGCCTGTTTTGCAGCAGGTGAAGTGATTCACAGGCTTGATGAGATATAGCTCGAGTGTTGACAGGTGAGCTGGCAGGGAAGCCAAATGAGGGAAGATGGTGAGATGAATATTTCCAAGAGTCACACATTTCTGTTTAATCCGAAACTGGAAATACTTTTCTCTTTTTTTTAAACATTTTAAAACGTAGCATTTTACTTTACTAGGCAGGTTTATGTTTTGTTCAAATTGTCTCTAAAGAAGGCCACATTTTTACCATTCTTATAATTTTGAAGGTATGTTCACTGACAAGCAAGAGCAGATCCTTGGCAGACTGAACCATTTCTTCCTCCTCTTTGATCCAACTCTTCCTCTCCTGCCTGTTTACTTTCCTGAACACCTCCCTGGACGGGAGAATCTCTGTTTCTCCCAATGAACCATTAATGTATGAAACAGAGAAGGAGCAGCCAGGTGAGCATGCCATGACTCTGTTACTATGGAGACACAGGTAGCAACTCTCACGGTGAGACTTTTATTTATCATTTTTCCATGCACACATGAACACACAGCTGATGCGCACATCTGGGAGCCCGATTTTTCTCAGACTAACTCAGAATAGATAATCAAATCCGGAGGTGTTTATGCAGAGCGTTGCCTTATTGTGGAAGGAGGAGCAGTAACCTTTTAATACCCACTCACAAGTTATCACTTCAGCATTAAAAGCCAGGCTTCAATGGGAAACATTTCTACAGGAAACATGGTCAGTTTTCTATGGAAATTGGTAGAAAAAGGTTAACAAATAACAGCAATTACTATTTTGTTTTGACATTAACAAAGAGTTATATCTAAAGAATAAGATCTTTATTGATACTAGTGTTCTGTGAGTACTAGAAGCGTAATGCTACTTCCAGGGTTATAAATGTCTTGGATTTGTCATTACAGTTTAGTTTTTTTTCATTGTGACTTTTTGTTTGTCTAATTCAGTTAGCTTTAATTGGTTTTTAGGTTGAATTTGCTAGTTTTTATTAGTTAAATGTTTAGTTATAGTTGTAGTTTTACTTTTTTCACACTTTGATCTTCTTGAATTCTCCACCTAAAAATGAACCAAAGTATTGTGATTATGGATACATTGATTCGATAATGAATACTTAACATACCATTTTCCAAAAAATGTCATGATTTTCATAACCGGACAACAAGACACAGCTGGATACCATCTGATTTTACATTTCCACCATTCTTCTTTTTGTGCGTTTTTCTCCACACAGGCATCTTCACACACAGCTTAGGAGTTACTTGAGTTACCAGGAATTACATTTAATATGTTACATTAATATGACTGCATATGCAGTTTGTACTGAGGAAGGTTTTGTTTTCTATGCAAACACAGAAGTCTTAAAGGTGTCACTTTAGGTCTAGCAATAAGACTCTAATCACATGGCCTAACTTCTTTTTTCCAATCTTTCCCTCTGCATACTGTTAAGGAAGAGATTCTAAAATAGTTA